GTGTATATATATATATATATATATATATATATATATATATAATATGTCATTAGAAGCAAATAGGTAAAATCCTGACGTGTTGTCTTACTTACTCTTCTCTCATTGCTAAGACAGAATACCCTGTAATCCAAAGTTAAAGGGAGAAAAATTTATTTAGCTCATAGTTTGCAGAGGTTTCAGTCCATAATTTGCTTTAGGGCAGGTTGGCACATGGCAGAGGCACCACCTTTCATGGCAGTAGAAGCCAGCCAAAACAACAAGAGTGTTGTTTACATAGTATGCAGGCAGGTGTAGTACTTACTCTTAATCCCAGCATTGGACCATGAATTGATCACAAGCTATAGATTCAGCCATCTCTGAAAAGCCTGCCCACATGACTGCATGAGGCTTTAGAGGGACATCTAGACACAAACCATGACACATATTTATAGAAAGCAGAACAAAAGCCTCAGATTCTAAGTCACAGGAAAACAAAATATAAGCAAATGGTCAAACATGTAAATGCTAGTGGTTCAGCTAACAAATTGGCAAAACAACAGAAACGGTAGGTATTGGCAAACTACTTGTGAGGACATAAATTCCTTTTTATGGTTTTCAGTTTGGGAATATTTTCCAGAAGCCTTAAAACTATGTGTGTAATTTGTGACCTAAGAATTTAATTTTGGTGATTTCATCATAATGGAATAATTGACTTCGTGTTTAAATATTAACTCTAGGAATGTTTATTATATTATTAATTATTAAAAAATTTAAATTGTTCATATGTCTGATAATAAGATGTTAGTAAAATTATTATATCCATGAAATGGAATACCTTGTAGCTATAAGCTTATATTGTAAAGTATTAATTTATGGTCAGTATGTATGTTTAGAGTATTATATGCAAAATGGATCCAAAGTTTTAGAAATGTTACTGTTTTATAAAGATACATATTATGCCAAGAAACATACCTATAGAATGATGTAGTCCAAAGTAGTAGTAGTAATTTTTAGATGTTAGAATTGTAGGAAGTTTTATCTTAATTTATCCATGTTTTCTATAATATGAAACAGTTTTGTATTAAGAAAAGTTACTACTGTTAAGTCAACCAAAATATATTATTTGTTTTTAAGGCTTAAAAAATATTTTTTTAAATTTTTATTTAAGAAGAAAAAGAAGCAGAAAGGGTACAAGTTATACAGAATTTCAGAAAAAAAAATAAACAGTAGGAAATCACTAGTTAATGGATTACATATTGTCATCTTAGAAATATTTGTTCAAGTTACAAAATTAAAGCTTATATAGTGGACATTCAAACAGTGAGACCAAACAGTTCTGTTCAATGATCCAACAAAACTCAGTAATATAATTGTCTATCTTATACACTTAAATATTCATGCAGTTATATCGTTTAGAGCACTTTCTTTTCCTCTCTTGTATACAATGACTGTTCTTATTACTTTTTTTGGAAGAGAGTAAAACCAAATGTGATATAACAGAACAGAGTCAGTCAAATCAAAAGGATGGACATAATAGATAATGTAAAAACATAATACAAGGTGATCAACAGTGGTTACCATAATGCCTCCCACTATCTCTAATAGAATTGCCTATATCATCAATTATAATAAAATTGAACAAAACAGTAAAGAAAGAAACCAACAAAACCAAAACATTGGAGACATTACAGGTCTTCAAAAGTAGATAGTAGTCAACCAGAATGGGCGTCATAATGAATCCCACTATCTTCATAGCTGTTGCCTAAACTTTCGAACCTGGTACTATCAAGCAAAACAGAATAGAGGAACATCAGTCAAAACAAGATGGTGAGAGCAATACAAGGCTTCAAATCAAGTTAATAGTAAATCAAAGTGGGTTACTATAATATATCCTACTATTTTTTTATTTATTTTTCCCTTAATTAAAAGGATAAAAATAAAAAATAATAAAATGGAGATTGAGATAAAAGAGGGCATACCAACAAAACAGCGCAGTTCAAAACATAAGCATTTAAGCAAAATAGTGTTTCACCACAAGATAATCCTGACATAAAAGTAGTTACCATATTGTCTCTTTCCTTGAAATGTTTGAGTATAACTTTGTGTACTGTAGCATCAAATATATCAAAACAATGTAAAACCATTCAAGAGAATGACAGTATTACAGGGTATTTAGAATCAACTAACAGAAAATGAACAATGGTTCTGTATAATAGGCTTAAAGTATTTGTGTATATGTATCTGTATGAATGCATATGTAAATGAAATGTCTATTTTAAAGGTGTGATTATGGATAATTGTACATAGAATCAAAATATGGTGCCTGCCACTGTATATTAGCATCCTTAATGATTTCTATTAGACATATAAATTATATTTATTCACAGCTGAAAAATAGTATAATAGGACCTATCACAAAGTTAAAGATGCCATTTAGAATATTCGTTTTACTTAGTGTAGTGATTGAAATTACATGTCAGAAACTACCCTATATGAACAGATAGAAGGAAGGAATGTAGAATATTGAAAAAATTTGATCTTGTAAAGTCAGCTAGTAATTGTTTTGACTTTCAGGTTTGTGACCATGAGCATAATACTAAACCTTTTTGAGGTTTGCCTCTTTATTTGTTAAGCATCTGCAAAATGTAAATGTGTGGTCGCTTGTATTATGGGGTTTGTGAAGACTGCAGGAAATAATGTGTGTAATTTATCCAGACATTGCCTAATCATATAAGTGTCCCATAAACGATAATGTATATGGTGATTCCACCTACAACTTGCATTATACCAAATATCTTATGGGAAAAGGGCCCTTTTCTTTTCTCCACCTCTTCCCTTAAAAATAAAAAATAGGTTTTTTAAAAAACTTGACATATATTGATTGATATACTTATTTGTATCATTGCTTTTGATTAGTTATAAAGTATAAATATAAAGATAATATATAACAGGCCTAGTTTATCAAATAAAAATAATTGCTTTCCTATGTAAGAGAACATTTTCTTCCTTTGATTATGAGATTTTTGGTTTTGGGGGACTTTTATTTTGGTCACCTGATTTGAAAAGTAAACACAGTTGTACAACACAGACTCATTTCCACCTCATTTAACTCTTACTATTTGCAAAGCCACTCATCATGATTTTGATCTAACATTGGGCGAGTTGTTTGTATCTCAGTTTTCTCATAGTTAAAATGGATATAGTGAAAATACATACCTTGTAAGTGTGTTCTAAGGACTAAATGAATGATTTTATATGAAGTACTTAGTATATGGTTTGTAATCCCTTATCGATACGTCTGTTACGTTACCCTCTTTTTTATTCTTTCAGTTAATACATTTTTATTGAATTCTTGCTATGTGCCAGACATAGTCCTAGACACAACAACATCCATGATAGGAAGAAAGTCATTGCTTTTGAGAAACATATTTTAGTGAAGGAGGCTGTCATAAATGTATGATATTAGGCAATGAAGTAGGCAAGACCTGTAAAGAAAAAGAGGCAAAATAAGGACATAGCAAATAATAAATGAGGTGTTTTTTTTTAAGTTTTAATGGTCATTTTAACTGAGACTGTGCAAATTTCTAAAAGAAGAATATTCTTGGCTAAGAGACCAACTTAGTGTCCTGAGGTAGTAACATTTCTAATGAATGTGAAGAGGAGCAGGAAGACCACTACCGATACAGTTCTAGTGAGAAAAAGAGAATTGTGTGAGGATAGATAGGTCAGTGATGTAGGTTATAAGCCATGGCAGAGTATATAGATTTTACCCTAATGTGATGAGAAAGCAAGTTTTGATAAGTGGAATGATACTATTTGATTGGTATTTTTTAAAAAATAACTGGCTGCTTTTATAAAGAAAAGACCTAGAAGTCAAATTATAAAGTGGAAGATCAGTTAAGAGATGATGGCTGTGATGCTGGTGACTTAGATTAGGTGATGGTGACCGGAAACGTGGTTGAATTGGCAGTAACCTTTGGGTTGTACTTGAAAAGAGAATGGGTATGATTTGCTGATGTACTAGATATGTGAATTTATGCAAGCTTTGACTATTTATTGAAGTAGTAAACACTCTGGGTAACTGTGTATACAGGGAGCATAAGAGTTTTGTTGTGGATGTTTTATTATGGAAATGTTACTTATGGAAATTCTTTACCAAAAAGGAGAGTTCTGAAAAAAATATTTTTTTATGTAGCTAATTGGAGTTTAGAAGAAAGGTCAGGAGTAGGAATAAAATTTGAGTATTGTTCATAGGTAAATAGTATTGCAGGCCACCACATTTGAGAGATAAGTTTGAAGAGAGAAGAGGAAAGCTATTATGACAGCTCTAGCATAAATGAATATTTGAAGTCAAGAAGAAAAGGATCCAACAAAGAAGACTTAGAAGGAATAGCTAGTGAATTAGGGCAGTGTAATTCTTGGGAGCCACATGAAGAAAGTCTCAGTGAGGGAAGAGTGCTATTTAGGGCTGAGGCTGCAACAGGAAGATGAGAACCAAGAGTTACCCACTGGTGTTGATAGCATTGACAAGGACATTTGTACCGTTTAAAGTTTTAAGACAGAAGCTGGCTGAAATGAGTTCAACAGAGAATGAGATTTAAAGAATAAAGAAAAAGAAAATAAAAAAGGATAGTCATAGAGGGGGGCTATTTTGAGAAAATTTAAGTAGAAAGAACTTAAGTGATTTAAATATAAAGTGAAAAATTGATGGTGCCAAAAATAGAAACAACTATATACAGGAAGAAGAAATGAGATCCAGTGTACATGGGGAAAATTTAGCCCCAGATAGGAACATGAGTATTTATATATAAAAGGAGAAAAGACATATATCTATAATTTTCCTTTCACAATACACTTGTATTGTGGACAGGTATTTTGTCCAGTCCACATATTTTCAGTCTTTGTCACGCAGGCGCTTATGCCACTGAGTAAATCCCCAGCTCAATTTTTGTATTTTCTAGTCTGTAGAAACCATATATTATTTTAAAATTATCATTGTTACTATTTTATTGATCTTGCAGGAGCATCTTTCCTTGAAGAAGTATATTGTTGATGTTGTGACTGAAAGTTCAGCTCCCTCAGAACCTTTGAAAGATGGAGACGACCGGCAAAAAAATAAAAAAAAGGCCAAAAGGATAAAAGCCCGGATGAACTCCAGGTACTTAAATATTGTTGAGAACAAAGCAAAATATTGTTGAGAACAAAGAAAAACAGAGAGTTTTCATGAGGTGTCTTTTAATGTAAATCCAAGAAAGACAAAAAAAGTTTAAAGTTGTTTGCTTTTGGAAAGGCTTGGAAATAACATTGATGAGCCTAATTTATAGCCACTTTCGTTGATTGAGACAGAAACTACATATCGATCTAAAGCCCTTGCTTTCACCTGTTAAGAGCTCTTCTTATAATTGGATGCCAGAGCCCTGCCAAACTTGTGCCTCCTTCAGCATGCAATAGTATGTTTAAATATGTGTAAACCAAGCCTATTTTTTCTTTCCAACTATTGATTTTTAAATGAAGTATCAAAGAAAATCAATAGCAATCAACAAATAGAAATCTGCTGGCAGTTGTGTCAGACCCCATGACTGGGTTTAATCAATTTGGTTGCCTGTCACAACAAGAAAAAGTTGAAGAAATATCTTAAAATGGAAAGTGAGTTGTCAGATCTGTAGTTTATCATCGGCCTCTGAAGTGACATCTAAAGATCAGACAACCATGTAGTACAGCATTACCTCACTGGCATCGAGTGTCATCTGGTGACTGATGGGTCTCATTGGAGGACACAGAGTTCTTCCTTGGTAGATAATCTAGAGCTGTCTGAGAGAAATGTTCTGAGTATGTCCTTACACTTTTATTCTCAAATGTCCCAAAGATGGAGAAACGTGATCCATGGGATTATAAAAATATATAACTAGAATAATGGTGAATGATAGTTCTGTTACTTCTGTATTCAGAGTATGATCTATCAAAGTGTCCATTTTATGTCAGAGACTCAGTGGTAACTTCAGAGGGTCCATCAATGCAAAGAATAGAGAAGGCTTTTTTGATTTTAGTTTAGAAGTCACTCCATGTTTCTAAGAATAGTTTCACAGTTTACTTCATTTCTAGTTCACACTAAGAAATTACTGACCTTCTGAACTTGTTCTTTGGTTCTTTTTTTCTTTAAATACCTTCTATTTGATGATGATTACCAGTTTTATATCTTTAATTTCACTCAAACTTGATATGTCCGACAGACGTGCTTTTCTTTCTGCACAAAACTCACCATATCTCATAGATTTCTCTGTCTCAGTGAACCAGTTGTATTCTGGCCAGCTGGACCCAAACTTTCTCAGTCATCTGCAGCCTCTCTCTTTCCTCCATACCTCACGTTCTGTCTGATTATAGATAGTACTAGGTTTGCATCAAGAGACACTGGACTTTGATAGCTCTTTGTCATTTTGCTGCTCTCCTTGACACTGTGCTTCCCACCCTTTCTCCAGGTGACTCTAGATCTCTGACCAGCCCCAACTCTCTCTCCATGCTGAGCACCTCACCAGGGAGTCTGGTGAGATTTGGGTCTTGACCATTACTTCTTGAAACCTCAGAGCTTTCATAGTTTGGTTTCTTCTTCCTAGAAAGTTCTACCCACATAGTGGGATCCTTGATTCCCTTCAGGTGTTTCTTTTTCTTTTTTTTTTTCCGGTACCAGGGATCGAACTCAGGACTGCCTACTTGCAAGGCAGGCGCTTATGCCGCTGAGCTAAATCCCCAGCCCCCCTTCAGGTGTTTCTTTAGGTGTGATCTTTCAATTGAGTGCCTGATTTGTTTGTTTTAAATAAAGTAGTACTTTTTTTTATTAAAGAAAACCTTAAAAATACAGATAATCATAGGAAAAAATACCACTGCAGCTTCCACTATTGGCATAGATGTGTTTTTATGTGTGTATACCTGTATCTATTGACTTTTTTATTAAGACTTAATTTACTGAGTGAAATTGACAGAGCTTACAGGTGCAGTTTGAATTTTAACAAATCTAAATACTGATGTAAGCCATATCCATCAAAATTTAAAATGTTTCACAGAGGTTCTTTGTGCTTCTCTGTGGTCAGTTTTCTGCCACCCTTGGCCTGACGCTGTCAGATTTTTTCCATCTCTCATTATTGATTAAAATTTTCTATTCTAGAAATTCTAACAAATGAAATCTCACACCTTTGTAGGTAGCTTTTGCTGAGTGTATGGTTTGTGAAACTTATCTGTTGATCTGTAAATGTAATTTTTTCCATTTTTATTGCTAAACATATCCATTGGTTGGATACTATAATGGTTTTTGTCCCATCATCCCTTGATAGACATTTGGGCTTCCAGTTTGGAGCTTTTTTTTTTTTTTTTTTTTTTTTTTTTTGAGTGGAGGGGAGCTGTTTTGGGGAACATTTTAAAATAAAACTATTCAAGTCTTGGGGTGAACTATATGTATTCATTTATCTTGGATAAATATATAAAAGTTTAATTGATAAAGTGTTTTCTATAGTGGTTGTACCATTTTGTATACCCATGAGAAATATGTGCAAATTTTATTTGTTGCACAGTCCTGCCAGTACTTGGTATTGTTAATTTTAAATTTTTACCTAATCCTAGTAGAAATTTAGTAGTATCTCACTGTGGTTCCAGTTGAGATTCCATGGTGATTAATCATCTATATCAAGCATTTACCTGAGTGCTTTGTAAACATTCAGTATACTCCTTTATGAAGTATCTTTTGAAGATACTACCCATTTTAAAAGTTGAACTCTTATTTTTCAAATTGATGAATATATTATTTTGACTACAGATTCTTGGTCAGGTCCACACACATGGAGAGAGAGTTTTCTCTTAATTTGGAGCTTGACTGTACATTTTCTTGATAATAGCTTTTGATAAGTAAAAGTTTAATTTTTATACTATTTATTTTATGAACATTATTCTTTTGTGTCTAATAGTTCCTGGGCTGTGTCTCAGAGATCTTTGCCTGTCAGAAGATCAAATGATAAGCTCTCATTTTTTAGAAGTTTTATAATTTTATCTTTTGCATTTGGGCTCATAATTCATCTTAAATAAGTTAATAGAAATGATACATAGTACTGACCTAGGTTTATTTTTCCACATAGATAGCCTGTGGTCTAGCACTTTCCTCTTCTATTATGTTTGTTAGCATTTATACTGTTTGGTTAAAAATCTGCACTATGTGAGTCTGATCTTTCTTCTATTCCATTGGTCTCTAATTTCTTGCTTTGAAAACTTTATTAGAAAAATACAGCAGCCCTCTTGTTATGGATCTGTTTCTGGATTATTAGTTAAATTCTGTTTTTTGATAAAGTTATCTATCTTTAGATTACACTGATTATTATAGCTTTATCAGGAGTTTTCAAGTAAAATAATAGAATTGCTTATCTTTTCTTGAGAATGTTTCCATTATCCAATGACTTTTTGCATTTTCATTTACATATTAGTCATCTTATTTTTGTTTATAAAATAAAAAAGTTTGTTTGAATTTTGGTTAAGATTGTATTGACTATACATCAGCTTTAGAAGAAATGGCATAATTATAGGATATGTCTACATTTATTTAGAACTTTTTTTTCTTAGTAATTGTGATTTTCAGTATAGATGTCTAACAAATATTTTGTGACATTTATCTCTAGTATTTTGATGGTTTTCATACTATTGAAAGTGTCATTTTGCTTTATTTTCAATTTCTCTGTTGTTTATATATGGATCCCCAGTTGACTTTTTGCATATTAATCTTATACCCTGACCCACTGTCAAATTGAGTTCTGAGCTCTAATAATTGTTCTGTAAATACATGTTTTTTATATACATAAACATGACATCTGAGTATAAAAGTCTTATTTCTTGCTTTTCAAAAAAGTGTATATTCTGTTTATTTCTTCTTATTGTATTGTGATGCTGTGTATCTTCATTTAAATATAGAACAGAAACCTTAGTCCTTGTCTTACTAAGAAAGCATTCAGTTTTTCACCAACTAAATTATGATGTTAGCTATAAGTTTTTTTCTACAGACAGGATAAGGAAGTTTCCTTTTATTCCTAGTTTATCAGTGTGGTATATTATAGTGATTTTTATAACTTTATTGAGATATATTCCCCACTTAAAATATGCTTGATTTGTGTCTTGAATGTTAGCCATGTGTTCCTGGAATATGTCACTTGCTCACAGTGTATTTGCTTTTCTGTCTTTCCAGATTTAATTTGCTTATCTTTTGTAGAGAAGTTTTACACATATGCTCATAACGTATGTTGGTGTATAATTTGCTTGCAATGTCTTTGTCTTGTATTGGTATAAAGAGAATATTGACTTTTTAAAAAATAAGCTGATTGGGCTGGCTTTAGCCCAGCGGTTCCTTTGAGTCTGGCTTCCAAACTGCCCGGGCAGATTGGTCCGGTGGTTCGAGACCCACAGGCGCTCTCCAGTCCTTTTAAAAAAAAAATAAATAAGCTGATTGCTATTACATTCTGCATTGGGTTGGATGGAGATATCTATATCTATATCTGTATCTATCTCTATCTACATTTATATTTCACCATCAATGAAGTTATGCTTCTTTGTGTTTCAGTCTAAGTAACTAGCATTTTTTATTTTGATTATTACATGTAAATTGTTTAATTTGTGTCTAAAATTTCAAAAATAATACTTACTCTTGCTGGTCCAGCATGTAAGGAGCTTGGAAGTTGCTACTCCATCCTAATAACATACCACAAGCTGAAAAAAAGAAATCAGTTACCCTTATTATGTATATAAAATCAAACCACTGTACTTTGAACAGATAGGTAGGTAGAATCGTAATTTACTAAAATAAAAACCCACAAGCAGGAACTTTTTGTGGCAGTTATAATTTATGGATCACTAGAGATTCACCTGTAGACAACTCAGACAGTCAGACACTGAGGAGCCCAGTCATGGGTAACTTGACACTTTTTATGAGCTTGCTTCTAGAAGTGTGACCATTTTTCCACAGTGAATACTGGAGAAATTTCCTCTGCCTCTTTCAAGTGGAAGAGGAGATTATACAGTATGCTGCAGCTTAAGAAGTTTTGCCGTCTGTTATGGTTGCACACTTCTCTAAGCCGAGCACTCTGGATGACTGAGGCAAGAGAGTCACAAGTTTGAGTCCAGCCTGAGCATCTTAGCCAGACCCTGACTTGAGATTAAAAAAAAAAAAAAAAAATGGAGATGTAGTTCCTTGTAAAGACCCTGGATTCAATCTCCAGTATCGCTAAAAAAAAAAAAAAAAGTTCTGCTAGTAGGAGAAACTATTGAAACTTTAACTGAAGCCTAACCAGTCGGGGTTTTATTAAACCCTAACTGACATAAAGGAAGAAATGAAAATATTGAACTGTACCCTCTGTGTTGAGAAAGGAAAATATTCTAGGATACGCCCCCTGTACCAAAAAATGTAATGCCCAGTTCCAACTTACTCTAGCTATACTGTCCCATCTAAATGTGGGAGGAGGAGTAGAAAACACTTGTTAACACTTCAGAAGCACAGACTCACTAAAAGACTCAGACATAACTGGATGTGGTGGTCCATACCTATAATCCCAGCACTGATAAGAGGGTGAACCAGGAGGACTGCAAGTTCAACCTTAGCCTAGGTAACTTAGCAATTTAGTGAGACTTCTTATTAAAAAAAGCCAAAAAAATAATTACAGAACTATCATAGTCTCTTGTTGTGCCCACATTTTGCCACCTTACTAAAGCCTTAAAACAATTCTTCTGTTTATATAATTCATTATGTCTATCAAGAAAAAATATAAGGCATACTATAAAGTAAAAGTACAATTTGAAGAGAAAGACCAATCATCAGAAGAATTAGACTCAAATATGGCAAGGATGTTATGATTATCAGTTATGAATTTAAAATAACTGTAACTGCCAGGTGTGGTAGCATACACCTGTAATCCTAGCATTTGGGAGGCTGAGGCAGGAAGAGTGCCAAAGTTTGAGGCCTGCCTCGACTACATAGTGAGTTTAAAGCCAGTCTGAACTACACAGCAAGACCAAGTCTAAAAAAACAAATAAATAAAATAACTAATACATTTAAGTCTCCAGTGGATAAAGTAGACATCATACAAGAATAGATGGGCAATATAAGCAGAGAAAGGACATTCTAAGGGAGAATCTAAAGAAATGCTAAAGGTTAGATGATGATGTTTCCCAACCTTGACATCATTTGCATTAGTAGATGTAAGTATTCTGGAATTTTGTAATTTCCTGTGGATAAAATTAACTAATTTTGATCAACTTCAGCTCTTATAACAATAGTAACTCTCATATTCATCATTAATCAGCTCTATGAAGTTATGTATTTTTAATATTTCTGGAGGTGAAATTGCTTGAATATATTCTCTCTGGCCTTTTCTCCTCATCCTCCTTCCTCCTCCTCATTTCCTTTCCTCCACAGTATAATTTATATAGAGTGGGACTTACAGAAATAAATATTTAACTGATTCCTAAAAGCAAATCACAACAAGAAATAATCTACTGTTTCAGGTCAAATTAGAATTTGTGGATTATATAATTGTTGTTATGTGTGCATGAATGAAAGAGTGGGTTTGGTCTCTCCCACCTTTAGCCCTACTTCAATATATGCCTAGTATAACACATATCTTCCTAAGCCTCAGTGTCTTCTTTGAAAAACGTGGATAAATACCATATGAGGTTTTTGAGAATAAATGAAATAATGAGCGTATAGTAGCTGACACAAAACTTGAAACATATTTAACCCTGCATAATGTTTATTTTTCCACCCTTTAGATGAGGTCACAGTTGTGTTCTGCTGCTAAGTAGTTATTTACCCATGTTGATATACCTTAATATTTTACCTGATCATAGTAGCATTCTTCAGTTGAAACAATACAAACATCATGTTGTATTGCAATTTAGATATTTATTTCCAAAAACTGACTCTGCTATTTTGCTTTCTTTATTGAGAAAGTTATAATTTGCATTTTTCACATTTTTAAAATTTTATCTGTCAGTTGCTATTTAGATTGGTTTGTGTTGTGATTTAAGTTTTTCATAGGCTATTGGGCTAATTCTTTGAGACAATCATCCCTTGGATGAGCAGTTATAACATTTTCCTTCCTTATCTCCCCAAAGACAAATAAATAAATCACTATTAATGAACTGCTATAGTGAGATCTGTCTTCAGTTCTTCATCTGTTGAGGACTAGCACCTCAGGTTTAGACAAACTAGAGCCTCCTTACTGGGAAGAAACTGCTGTTGTAGATTTTTCCAGATTTGTGGTGCCTAGTATAAATAAAGCCATAGCAAATCTTTAAGGATCTGGTCAATTTATTTCTATTGTCTTTTAAGTTATTCCTAAAGTTAAATTACTGTTCTTTATTTATTTTTGCATTGTATGTCTCTTGAAGTACTTGTGTAGTTTACTAATTATGCTTTGTAGAAATCTAATAGACTTTCAAATTGAATTATATTGATTATTTAATTTCTGAAAAAAACATTTTGAATCAAGGCTATAAATTGAAAGGTGTTTTAATAAGTCTGTTCTATATCTTTTGAGGAAATATGTAATTCTAAAGGTCTTTCATGATAGCATTGATATTAATATAAAGGAGAAATTTACAAAATGAGAATATTATAACTAATGTAATTAATTTGTGACCTTAAGAGTAAGATTTTATGAAAGGAAAAAAGCACAACTGAGGCTTTGGATTATTATAAAATTATAAAAATTAGCTACAAAATAACTAACAGTGATAAAACCTTTTATTCTTCAGGGCCAAGGAATATGAGAGTTTATTGGAAACAAAAATTTCTGGCTCTGACTCACCGTATAAAGCTAAGTGAGTATTCTTTTTTTTTTTTTTTAAAGTTTATCGGTACATTCTATCTATATAATGTTCATGTTCATTATGCTGAACTTGTACATGATACATTTTAGTTCCTCTTTTTTTCCCTTTCTCTTCTCCTCCCTTAAAACCCTCTTTCCTATCTTAATTACAAAACTTTGCTTCGATTTTATTCTTTTTTTTTTTATTTAAGGAGAAAAAGAAAAAAACAGAGAAAGGGTACAAGTAACACAAAATTAAAAAATAAACAGTAAGAAATCACTAGCTAATAGATTATATATTCTCATCTTAGAAATAGTTGTTCAAGTTACAAAACTGAAGCATATAAAGTGTACTTTCAAACAGTGAGAGTGCAAACAGTTTTGTTCAATGATCCAAAAAACACTTAGTAATATGGTTATCTATCTTATACACTTAAACATATATGGAGTTATAACCTTTAGAGTACTTTCTTTTCTTTTCTTTTGTACCATGACAATTACACATTTTGGGTTTCATTACTCCCACAGTTCTTATTACTTTTTTTGAAGAGAGTAAAACCAAATGTGACATATCAGAACAGAGTCAGTCAAATCAAAAGGATGAACATAATAGATAATGTAAAAACAAAATATAAGGTGATCAACAATGGGTTACCATACTGCCTCTTGCTATTTTAAGAGGAATTGGCAGTTATAATAAAATTGAACTAAACAGTAAAGAATAAAACCAAAGCATTGGAGACATTACAGGATTTTAAAAGAAAATAGTAGTCAACCGGAATGGGCGTCATAATGATTCTTATTGTCTTCACAGTTATGCCTATACTTTTGAACTTGGTACTATCAAGCAAAGCAGAATAGAGGAAAATCAATCAAAACAAGATGGTGAGGGCAATACAGGGTTTCAAATCAAGTTAATAGGAAATCAAAGTGCGTTACTATAATGTACCCTGCTATTTTTTTTTTATTTTTCCCTTAATTAAAAAAAGAAAAAAAATTAAATAATTTTTTAAAAAGAGGATTGAGATAAAAGAGGGCATAACAACAGAACAGCGCAGGTCAAATCATAACCATTTAAGCAAAATAGTGTTTCACCACAAGATATCCTGACATAAAAAGAGTTATCACAGTGTCTCTTTCCTTGAAATCTTTTGAGTATAACTTTTTATACTGTAGCACCAAACATATCAAGACACTATAAAGCCATTCAAGATAATGACATTATTACAGGGTATTTAGAACCAATTGACAGAAAATGAGCAATGGTTTCTATATAAACTCCTTGTCTATAAAAGTTTTTGTTTATCTTATCATATATAATAAAATCCAATACGATGCAGCCTTTTAAGACCAATGGAGAGAGAAGAATATACATTTGATGGGACTTCAAAACCAGATGATACTAAATCAGCACTAGCTATTATGATGTCTTGTTTTCTCCAAAATTGCTGTTTCTACCTTCCGATCTTCTCTGCCTCATTTCTGTTGAGCTCTTTTTCTGCTGTTTGTTGTCAGTTTGTCTTCTTCATTTTGTTTTCTGCTCCATTCATTGTGGCCTCTCTGCCACTATTTCTGGAATCTTGGTATTTTCCTTTTTTAGACTATCCTGCAGTATTCTCTGTAGAGTTGAATTAGTGATTGCAAATTCCCCTAGTCCCTCTTTATCCTGGAGCACCTTGTTTTTCCATCAATTTCCAGGGATAGTTGTGCAGGATATATCAATCTTGGCTGGAGGTTATTATCTTTCAAAGCTTCAATTATTTCCCCCCATGCTCTTCGTGATTCGATGGTTTGTGCCAAGAAGTCTGCTGTAATTCTGATGGGTATTCCCTTGTGAGTGATCTGTTTCTTATCTCTGACGGCTTTTAATATTCTGTTCTTATATTGTATTTCTGGAATTTTGATTATTATATGCCTGGGTGTAGCTCTGTTTGGGTTGTAGGTGGCTGGAGTCCTGTATGCCTTATATATCTGAGTATCTTTACCATATGCCAAATTAGGGAAATTCTGTTGAATTATTTCTGTGAATAGCTTTTGTAGTCCATTTGTTTGTGTCCCCACTTCTTCTCTTATGTTCTTAATTCTTAAGTTATAGATCCTCTTATCATCTTCTAGTTTTTGTATTGTTGCTGTTTGTTTTTTTGTTATTTTTAAGAAGTTTTTCATTTCATGCTCCCATATTACAAATCTGCCCTCCAGATAATCTGTCCTTAGTTTCTTTCAAGCTGTTATGCAGTTTTCAATAGAGTTTTTAGTTTTCTGGTAATCTCTTTGAACCTGCTTTACATATTCTATGTTTTCTCTATCTTCTCCATCAAACAATTCTCCCCTTTTTTTCTGTTCTTCCATTCCACCATCTGTTTTTTCTTGGGCAGTGCTTAGCATTTCTATAACTATTCTGCTTATGTCTTGCTTCAGGTCATTGATAACTTCATTCCTGAACTCATCTATGAGGCTCTGGAGATAGCGCTTTATGTCTATTGGTGCCGTGTCTGCTATTGCATGTTTCTCAGGAGTGGGGGCCAAGGACCCTTTCTTGTTGCTCCCTCTTCCCATATTTTTTGTTCCTTATATTTAAGCGTGTATAGGAGGCCCATCTTCCTTCCCTGTCCCAGCTTCCTTCCTTCCTTCCTTCCCATATTCTTTGTTCCTTATATTTAATCGTGTATAGGAGACCCAGCTTCCTTCCCTGTGGCTTCCTTCCCAGGCCATAGTCTGAATTGCGCAGGCTAGGTGTTCCCACCCACTGAAGCGGCACCAGGGAGACACAGACCTGGGCAGCCTATGCTGGGCCTGCCCCTCCAGTCAACCTACTGAAGGCTTCACCGCTAGGGTGTACCTCCAGGCGCTGGGATCTGAGTTGGGCTAGCCTATTGTGTCTCAGCTAGCGGCGTCTCACAGGCCAGGCACTCCCCACCAATCCCGCTTGAGAGGGGGATATGTGACTGACGTCACTGCAGCTTCTCATTCCGGGAAGTCAGCCCGGTCCGAGTAAGTCCTCTGCTGAAGCCTCCTTCTCTATGGAAGGATCCCAATTTGCTCACTCACAGCGGGTTGATGCAGGGCACCTGGCCAGTCCTGCTCCCAACTCCTTTCAACGCTTCCCACTCTCTGAGCTTTCGCGCCTCTCTCCCCACTGTGCTGACCGGGACACAACAGCGGCTGCAGGTAATTCAAATCGAAGTTTCCAGTGGCGCAGGTCCGGCTTCCGTGCTGAGACCTTATCTGTGCCTGCTGTATCACCAGGATTGTGTTTCCAGATGTTTTCTCTTAATTTAGTTCATTCCTGAGTCAGCAAAGAATATCCCCCCTTGCCTAGGACTTCCTGCCCAGCACCATTCCTAGATTTCAAGTGCGGTTTCTCAGAGAGCCTCTGAGGCTGCTGCTATCTATCCACCATGTTCTTCCGGACTCCGATTTTATTCTTTTTTTTTTTTTTTTTCTCAATTTTTTTCTTTTTTGTTTCTACTCCCATCACCACCTTTCCTTTTAAACAGTTTCCTTCCTATTTCACAATATCTGTTATACTTTTTGGTTCTTATTTACACTTTCAGTTTCTCACACCAGAGAAACAATGTGATATTTAAACATATGTATCTGGTTTATTTCACTTAAGAGTATGGTCTTGAACTGGGGATGTAGCTCAGTGGTAGAGTGCTTGCCTAGCATAGACAAACCTGAGTTCAAGCATTTAGTAAAAGCATTTAGTAAAAGGAGTATAGTTTTAAGGTCTATCCATTTAGGTATAAATGTCTCAAGTTTATCCTATTTATGGCTGAGTAGGGCTGTATTGTTTAAAAAAAGAAAAAAACGTCTTTTTTATGCATTCATTGGTTAATAGGGATTTGAATTGCTTCTAAGATTTAATTGTTATAAACTATACTACTATAAATATGGTGTACATATATTGCTGGAGTATGATGCTTTTAATTCTCTCAAGAAGATACCAGGAAGAGGAATAGCTGGGTCAAATGGGACCTCTAGTCTGAGTTTTTTGAGGAATCTCTACACTGATTTCCATAGTGGTTGCAACAGTTTACCTTCCCACCAGCAGTAGACAAGGGTTCCTTTTCCCCCACAGCTCTGTCTTGATTTCTTGGTAATAGCCATTCTTTCTAGAGTGAGATGGAATCTCAGCTCTGTTTTAATGTGCATCTCTCAAATGAGTAGTGATGTTGAACATTTTTTCATGTTATTTATTTGCTGTTTGTACTTCTTCTGAGAAATGTTATCTCAGTTTGATAAAACCAGCATCATACTAAATGGACAAAAATGAAACTTTTTTTCCTAAAATCAGGAGCAAGACTAGGAAGTCCACTATTACCCTCCTATTCAATTTAGTTCTATAACACTAGCTAGAAAAATTAGAGAATAGGAAGAACAATAATGATAATAAAGGAAGAAATTAAATTATCTTTATTTGCAGATGACATGGTACATAGAAGACCCTCTAAAACTGCAGCAAAAGGCTTCTAAATTTAATAACTGGATTCAGTTGCATAGCTCAATACATTAAAAAATCCATAACTTTCTTGTGCACAAATAACAAGCTCACTGTGAAAGAAATTAGGGAAGCAACATCTTTCCTAAATAGCATGAAAAACCCCTTTCATAATAGCATGAAAAATTAGAACTCAATCTGAAGATGAAGATGAAGAAAGTAAAAGAACTCTACATTGGAAACTACAATACACTGAAAAAGGAGGTCAAAGAAGATAGCAGAAAATGGAAAGATACTCCTTGTTCTTGGGCAGGAAGAACCAAAATAGTAAAAATGGCATACTTCCAAAATTGTTATACAGATTTAATGCAGTCTCAATCAAAATACTACTAGCCTACTTCACAGAGCTAGAGAAACATTCCTAAAATTGATTAGGACCTAGAATAGCAAAAGCAATTCTGAGCAACAAAAGTAAGGGAGAGGGCATCACAGCCTTTGACTTGAAATTATACTGCAAAACTACTGTGATAAAAAACAGCATGGTACTGGTAAAAAAACAGATCTAAGGATTA